TTTGTGTGGATTAACCAACAGATTTCCCCCGTGTGATAACGTCATTAGAGTTGCCATAAGTCAGAAATGATTTGGGCACACAATAGTGAACAACATTCTTGCTTATGAACCAGCCATTGCTCTGTGATCTGATAGGGAGGCCCTTCTCTCAGTCCCAGCACCCTCACAGGTACATGGGGGGTGCATGGGAGAAGGCCTTCTCAGTGGCTGCCCCTACGCTCTGGAACTCTCCTCCCGGAGAAGTTAGACTGACACCCTTCCCACTTTTCTTTTTTTAGCAGGCAGACAGGTGTGTGTGCATAATGCTATATGTTTTAAGTCTGGTTTTAATTTTTTTATTGTTTAATCTTAACTTGTAAGCTGTTTTGAGCCCTGAAGTGGGAAAAAGTTGGGATAGAAACAAATACTACTACTACTAATAAAAAAATACAGCCTCTTTTTTGTTCTAAATTGTGCAAAACCCCCAACATGTATTATAGCAGAGTTTTCTCTGCTCAAGAACCTCTCTTTTCAAAAACACATTTTTTAGTGCAAAATTGCTGTTCTGCTGGAAATGGTGTGGGGATTACATGAAAAACATGGTTCCCCCCAAGAATTTCTACATCAAAATCCCAGGTGTATTTCTGTGAAGAACAATGTGCTGAGGCACTTTGGGATGGACACAAGTGAGTGAAAACTGCACAAATTTCTAATAACTTTTACTCTTTCTGATTGAGATTTCATTAGTGTTGGGAAACTTCTTCTTTTTGGCCATGAGGTAAATAACAGCGAACATTCTTTCAGTTCCTAGAACATACTGATCCATAATGAAGATGTGTGTATTAATCTTGCAGGCATAGTTTTGACTGAAATCACTTTAGTCTCAGAAGTTTATTGCTTGGCTTTTTAAACTGGTTTATCTGTGTACGGCTTAATCTTAATCTAGGCAGCATTCTGATCTTATCAGATGTTTTTTTGCCACCAAATTTGCCACCCAAATACAGCTGGGGGGTATCCCCACTTCCAGGGGTGCCCCTCGCAGCTCTTTTCAGATCTGGGAGATTTTAGGCTTAAGAAAATGGCCATGAGAAGTGGCTCTGGAAGCAGGAATGGACCCAGACTGTATTTGGGTGGCAAATTTGGCAGCCAAAAAGTTTGATATGATCAGGATGCTGCCCGAATTAAGATTAAGCCAGACCAAGGTAAACTAATTTAAAAAACCAAGCAATAAGCTCCTACACAATTTTAAGGGAGCATCAATACAATTTAAGACAACAGAAACATGAGAGTGGATATGATAACTGCAGTTTGGAAGTAGACCTCTCAATAGCATGCTATTGCAAAGAGTTTTCAAATATTTGAAGGCTGGGCTTATTTTGTGGAAGTGCTTTGCCCCATAGCATGCTTTCATTGCCAAGATTCAGCTGTGCTGGAATGCATGAAATACTATTGATGTTTCTGAGGTTGTGCAGGATGTCTTTAATTTACTTTTAATTTACATAGCCATTCTACACACAAATGAAAATGAAGGTCAAATGACTTCCGGCCAAAGCAGCATCTCATTTTAAAACATTCCTGTCAGGTATTTCATTCTCAACCTGGAAATGTGGCAAGGAATGCCACTGAGTAAGGTAAGAAGGATTTTTATATTTTTAAGTACACATGTGGATTTTTATGTTTTTAAGTACACATTGTTCCATTTGCAGAATTCAGTGCTCTATAGCTTTTTCTCTTTGAGACTGGTTATCTGCAGCAGCAGACAGTGAAACAACTGGGATAGTATACTTTCCAAATGTCCCATTTTTCCAGCCTTTTTAAAAATGTTCCAGCTTCTCTCTCCTTCTCCCATTTCCTCCACTTGTGCTCAGTGGCTACAAATTGAGTTCAAAGTGGTGGGAAGGAGGTGGTAGAATCTTGTCCTTCCCTGTAGCCTCATGCAAAAGCAAACTGCTGCAGCCTCTTCTAGCTTATTCTTCACCTGTTTTCTTCACCATTAATAACTGTTGGCATGCTGTTGGCACTCTGATATTGCTTGGCTACATGTGTTCCAGTTTTCATGTTGGAGAGTATGTGATAGTCCAGGGTGACTCCGAAAAAAACTAAGACCTTTTAACATTCAGAGAAGGATAACATCTCAAATAAATAAATAAATAGATAAAGGGGGGCTACCCTTCTTTTTGGAAGCCTAGTGCTCCCTGATTTTATTTTATTATTATTATTTTAAAAAAATTACATTGTTGTTTTCTGCTGAAATTCAGTAGCAGATGCACTGGTCAGTTGGAAACGAAACTATAGGACCTCATCACACTGAGGTAAATTGCTTAAATCCTGTGCAGAAACACCCCCACAAAAGTGAGTTGTTTTTCAGATTTGTGTAAAGGAGAAATAATACGACATTAATCTGAATGGAAAGTCACCAAGGCCCACTCCTTTTTACGTTCGAAAGTTCCCGAAAGTAAAATGAAGCGGGTTTTGGTGACTTTCTGTTTGGATTAATGTTGCATTATTTCTCCCTCATGCCAAACGTCATGTGAAAAACAATCCACTTTTGCTGGTTATTTCTACTTTCTGTTCAGGATAACCCCAAACATCGTATGAAAAACAATCCGCTTTTGCAGGTTGTTTTCACTTTAAATCCAGTTTCTGCACGGGATCTGTCCTGTGTGATAAACCTATAGTGACTGTGACTATCCAATTGACAAAACATTTGTTTTTTTTTTATGAGATAGTGACTATCAACCTTGCATATATTAAATAGTTAATATCACAGTCAATATTGTATTAATGTTGTAAACCTCATGTACATTTGAAGTATATACATTTTAATTTTGTTGTTTGTTGTGTACTTTCAAGGGTGACCCTAAGAGGTTATCTTGGCAAATTTCTTCAGAGGGGGGTTGCTATTGGCATCCTCTAAGGCTGAGAGATTGTGAGTTACCCAAGGTCACCCAGTGGCTTTTCATGGCCAAGTAGGGATTTAAATCCTGGTCTCCAGAGTCATACTCCAATGCTGAAACCACTACACCATGCTGGCTCTTCATAAATTGTAATACTAATCAATAAAGGATGAGGGAAACAGTTTTTGTGTTAATAAACACAAGGGAAATTGGTTAATAATGAAATTATTATTTCTAAATACAGTACTACATCAGTTATGAGGTAGGAAGTTGTTTGTTAGTAATGAATGAAGATTTCATTTATTAATAATGAAGTTGCTATTTCCCAATGTTAATTAATTAAATCTAAGCTGGAGAAAGATTATCAATAATGTGGGAAATTGTATTTATTAATAAAAGTTAAATAAAAAATAGAAAGGTAGTCTATTTTAATCTGATTTTTTAGTGATAAAGTCTACTAAGCTCCAGCCATTTACTTAGCATGTCATCCTATGGGCATGTCACTTTTGAGCACTTATCCAACCATCCTCTGGTCTTATGGACATTGCCCATGCCCCATCTAATTCAAGGACATAATTTGCAGATGAGCTGAAGAAACTAGCATCCATATTCAAAGGAAAAGCAGAATCCATCTACATTTGGCCCTCCATGTTTGTGGATTTGACTTTTGAGGATTTGATTATTCACAGATTTGATTAATATGTTCTATCTAGGGATCTCTCTAGGGATCACCTTTTTTTTTAACCTGAGAGAACACTTCTATAAGAATCTCTAGTTCCTCCAGCATAATTCTGCTGGACATTGACCATATAGTCATGCTGGAGGAACTACGGTAGATATTCCCAGAGAAAACACTTCTCTAGGCATTTGTAGGCCCTCCAGCCTGATTCTGTGGTTAACCTCTGGTGGAGTAGCACTTGAGGACCTAGAGATTCTTACAGAAGTGTTCTCTCAAGTTCAAAAAGGTGTTTGTTTTTTATATTCGTGGTTTTCCCACTTTCATAGGGACTCTGTGCCCCTAGCCCCTGTGAATGTGAAAGGCCTACTGTATTTCACTGATGCTCAATGCTGTTTTTTCCCATTTGACAAGCAAATCTGTCTTTATGAAGAAACAGCAATGAGGATCTGCTGGCTCAGGATCTGTAAATGGACTTTTGACAAGCTTTGACTAAGCTGATCAGAAACTCCTGCTAATTTTTAAATAGATGTTCCCCTTTCTGTCTTTCAGTTTTGTATGAGCTTGATTTCTCAGAATCCACTTTTCTAAAAGTTTGAGATTCCTCGTATTCCTTTGCATGTGACTCCCATCAGCATGACCATATAGACCCAAAGGGTTCATTTCT